CACACAACAGAGTGATTAGAGTGACTAAAGTTTATTGGTCTCATTTTAATACTGCAAAGATATAAATGATTATAGGTACTGACCAGATGTTCCAGTGCAGTAATATACTTGTAAGCTCCACAATGAGTAAAGTAGTGCCACATTCTAGTTTAAAAAGTATGATTAAGTCTTTCTACTATATGTGCTTTTGTTTCATTATGAGTAGTAAAGAAGTGAATGCGTTGTTCCTTGAGATTATGTTGAAACAGATGATGATTAAATTATGTTCCAGCATTAGTTTTAAGTTTAAAGGGATTTTAATCCTGGTAATCAATGTGGATGGAAAACAGGTTCCCACTCGACCTTTACAGCCAGATTTTGAAGCCGAGCTATACGTATGAAGCTATGAAACGTTATTTAGTGGAACTGAAAAACAATTTCAAGATCAAGGAATTGATATAGGATATGACGAATACTCGGGAGGATGCACATTCTGTACCTTTGATCTTACACCTGATCTACCTGCTGGAGATTCTCACTTTAATTTGGTGAACCTGGGAAATTTAAGAATTGAAATACGTTTTGGTAGTGCTTTACTTAACATTATAAAGCTTCTAGCATTTGCAAAATTTCAGTCAATTTTAGAAATCACTCAGTCCAAAAACATCATAACACATAGCTAAGAAGATATAAATATGTTGGAAATTTGTTCAGTACTGTTACAGGATTCATGTATGAGAAAAGGTTTGGAGGTTTAATTGCCAATGACCAGCTACCAGACAAAGCAGAAAAACAATTATACGTTGTCAACCTGGATCCTAGTCATAAACCTGGTAGCCACTGGGTCTGTATATATTTTGGGCGAAATGAAAAAGTACAATATTTCGATTCATTAGGAATACCTCCAGATAATCTCAGCATTAGAAAATTCATCAAAAAGAATTGTCAAACATGAACTTTCAACCAAAAAGTACTGCAAGGACTATATTCATTTGTGTGTGAACAGTATTGTATATATTATGCTTATTATAAATTATAATTACGACTCCTCATCTTTGATTAAGGCGCACACACAGAAATGTGAACTATAACCTCGTCATTTTTGATGATTCTGCCGGCATCTTTTATGTCCCCTATGCTCTCAGGCAGCCAATCGTTGTTAGGCGGCATCCTTAATAAGCTAAAGTGTCAGGCTTACTACTGACATCATCTTGGGATCAACTAAAATTGATATCACTTTACCTTTGTCAGGTCAAAATCAACACTAAATGACAATTCAAAGTCAGTCTAATGTGACATCCCCTGATCTCTCTGATGTTATAGTGTTAAAGTAGTGTCGAGGTTAATGGTCAAACGAGCCTAGTCTCTAAGGATAAATACTTTTTTAAAAGTTCTAAATTGGGAATAGCTTTGGCTGAAATTTGAAGTCTGATTGGTCGTTTAGTCAATGTGTCGTGTAAGATGTTGTTCAGGTTGAAAATACCAAATACTTTCTATATGTACAAGGAAACAAGAATTCATTCACTCATTTACGCGATTTCTAATTCGAAAGGTTTTGAGGCAACTGGTATGTTATTTTGTGTTAATCTGCAACTAGAATTTCGACCCCAAGAAAATGAATGTTTATGAACAAGGTTTTACTTTCAAAAATACAGTTGGAACTTATCACTTGTACCATGCTGAGTCAGATAAGTGAACAATATGTATAAAGTAAACACAATAATAGTTTACAAGTATGGTGCCTGGCACTTGTCATCATTATAAAGAGAACCCAATGGATTGGATCTTATTATTTCTGTTATAATAGAATCCTGTGTCAAAATATGTCAAACCAATGTTGAAAAAGCAACATATTTTATGTATGTATATATTTCCATGCAAAAGTGCCTAGTGGTATCATTTTTGGTGTCAAAAAATAATTATATACCATAAACTTAAAAGAAGTAGTAAAAAAAGAGTATTTTTTGTACCTAGTGGCACGTTCATGAAATAGCTTAAATTATTTAGTGTCTTGATGTTCCATTAGTATCATATTGTGGCTGACTAAGTTATGGAATTTGTTCTATGTTTTCCATAATATTTATTCTCTTATCCCTGTGAATTATATCTCAGCCTCAAGTTGAAGAGTTTACAGTGTGTAAGAGACTGGTCTATTTGTTATTTTTGAAATTTCTTGTAGTGAGGGCAATAGGCTACAAAGTTATAAATTCTAAGTTGCCACAGCACGAGTTTAAAGTGTCGATATTCACTGTAATTTTAGTAGTGAAGCTTCAAACTCGTTTTAATATAACATACTCAGTCTTTGTATAATAGTAATGTTAGCCAATAAGTATAGCTTTGTTATGTTTAAGGCCCGGCATGGCCAGGTGGTT